CAATGATTTGTATCGTGAAAAGCGCTGTACAAATAAACTTGACTTGACTTGACTTGACTGTAGTGAGAGGCCACAGAATCCGGTTCAGTTCTCCTCCGCCTCAATTCAATGGGGCCTTTCCCAACCTGGTGGCCATCCCTGCCAGCGCTTGCTTCACTCCTAGAAGCTGACGCCAGTTTCACCGCACGTGCTTTTATGCTTCCTGGTCGCTACGTCACCCCGCCCGTGACGTGATTCAGAGCGTGGTCACGCTGGAGGCGTTCCCGTAACGTTTCGACGCAGCATCTTGTTCCCTTCGGGGAACCATGATTACATACGTAACCTGGAGACAATTCTCAGTGACAGTGATGTGTAGTGTAACATCTTACACAAACTCAACTGTTAATGGACAAATGAATGCATGCATGACAGTTCAATCTTTTTCCGTCATGTTTGGATTTAATGCGTTCATAAAATTATTTTTAGGTATATATAGGTATTCTGGTTGTGGTTTGGAAAGTGAATAATGCTTCTTTAGTGACACTTTTCTAACTTTGTGTTTGGACTCAAATAAGTTCCACAGGAGGAAAGAAGGGTTGGCCACACCGTGTCTCTCCACTCTCATGGAAACAGCCAATCACAGCACGGAAATGGAGAAGCGCCAAACTGCAATCTCCTCCTCATCGGAAAGGGATAAAGGGACCCTTCCAAAAGACACTCCTTGATCTAAGTCTTTCGTCCAGAGAGACAATAGCAGATACGACCATGTTCTGAGTCTGTCCTGTAAGGGGATGGGGATGGACAGGGGATGGACAGAAACAGATCACCAAAATTCTGAGTCTCTGGCCTGCAAGGGTGAGACAATTCCAGATACAACCACGTTCTGAGTCTCCCATCCAGAAAGCCTATAACAGAAGTTATGAGTCTCCAGCGTGTTACAGGGAAGGCAGCAACAGACACAACAGTCTCAGTCCTGTAATGGAAGAGAAGTAAACAGATACACCGTTCTGAGTCTCCAGTACATACAGAGAGACACTAATGGCTCGTTTCCCCTGAGCGGTACAGTACAGTACAGTTCAGTACAGTACGATTCAGTTAAACATAACTTTGTGCTCAGCCAAAACCAGACATGACCAGGAACAAATAATAGATTCATGAGACCACAAATGCCTGTTAAATATAGCCAACCCAAAACGAATTGTATCTCATGTTTAATCACTACAGAGACATCAGAGCCAGCGGCAAATGTCAGAAGGACTAGCCGAGCTAAGGCTGCTCTCGGCGGATAAATGAGCACTGAGCGCACGGTGATCACACGGAGCTCTGAAATCGGCATAGCAAATTTTCAAATAGGCGCTATCTTTATAAATAAACCGCAGATTTGAGTTTTAAACAATTACATTCTCACCTGAAAAACTCTTAAAACTACATTTCATGACACAATAACAGTTATATTTAGAAAATTACGCGGGTGTTTGGGCAATGACATTTCACAAGTCCACAAGAACAGACAAGAACGCATATTGAGAAACGGCTATTGTCTGTGTGAAAATATAAAATTATAAAATACACGGTTATATTTTTTTGTGTTTGC